GAATCAACCAACCTCAACATCTAACTATAAACAAAGGATCTTTCATACTGCCATAGAGACAATTGCTCAACCATCTTCATTGCTGCTGCTTTCACAATAGCCAGAACCTGGAAGCAACCTAAATGCCTCTCAATAGAAGCATGTGTGAAGAAAATGTGCTACATTTACACATATAGTATATAGATCAGTACTTGAAAAAAAAATGAAGCTACTAGCCCAGGAAATTTAGCATGCTCACTGTTCCCACTTCTTAGGTTCCTTCCAGCAAACATTCCCATGCAAACACAAACCTGTCACCCAGAAAAACAGGAAGTCACACCGACTAAGGACTCCTTCCCCACCTTTTCCACTCCTTCTGGCTCACATCCTCTGCCCAAAAAGAGGCCACACCAACTGCAAGACAGGGTAGATCACCTTCCCTATTCACAGTCCCCATTTCCCTCTTCCTCACCATATTGCAGCTCCAAACTCAGAAGGAATCTCTCCTCCCAGAGGCCATAAGAGCCAACAGAACTACAGCCTCTAACTTGGGCAGGCAGAGACTTCCTGCTAAGCAAACGTCAAGGATCCTTCCAGAACTCCTACTGCCTGAAACTCAGATGCAGACTATCCTTCAACCACAGGCCACACAATCCTGAAGACCATAGAAGAAACAGTCATCAAGAAACAAAATGCCCATACAACAAAGACAAACCCTGGAATTAATATCTCTCTCTATATAATCACGTAAACCCAGATGCCTAGACTCCAGCTTAAGAACAATGTCCACAAACAACCAGGGTAATATATTACCACAAGAGCCCAGCTATCCTACCACAGGAAGACCTGAGTATTGTAACACAACTGAAGCACAAGAAAAAGACCTTAAAAGAAACTTTATGAAGATGATAGACATCCTTAAAGAAGGTGTGAATAAATCTCATAAGGAAATTGTGGAAAAAGCAAACAAAAAAATAGGAGGAAATGAGTACCTTAAATAAAGTCAAGAAAACCTTGAAAACAAAACAAAACAAATTGTTAAAGAAAATGAATAAAAATGTTCAAGGCTTAAAAATGAAAATAGAACAATTTAAAATTACAACCGAAGGGGATTCTGGAAATGGGAAATCTAGGTAAATGAAGGGAAGCTACACACACAAACATCAACCAACAGAATACAAGAGATGAAAGAGAGAATCTCAGATATTGAAAATATGATAGAAGAAATAGATATATCAGTCAAAAATGTTTAATACACAAATTTCCTTACATAAAATATATAGGGAGTCTGGGACATATGAGAAGACCAAACCTAGGAATACTAAGAATAGGAGTAAGGAGAAAAATCTCAACTCAAACACCCAGAAAATATTTTCAACAAAATCACAGAAGAAAATTTTCCTAACCTAAAGAAAGAGATGCAAGAAGCAAACAGAACACCAAATAGATTGGACCAGAAAAGAAAATGTACTCACCCCATAATATACAAAACAGTAAACATACAATACAAAGAAAGACTATTAAAAACTGCAAGGGAAAATATCTAGTAACATAAAAACAGACCTATTATAATTTCATATAACTTCTCAGTGGAGACACTAAAAGCCAGAAGCTCCTGGACCTATGTCCCATAGACTTTAGGAGAAAACTGATGCCAGCCCAGGCTACTATAACCTGAAAAAGTTCCAATTACAATAAACAGAGAAACAATATCTTTCATGATATAAAAAATATCTATTTATGAATGTAGCCCACAGACTTTACTAGCCAAAAACTACTTCCAATTGACAACCACTTGCAAAGGAAAAACTAGCTTTCTCCAATGGAATCTCACTGAATATTCCAACCACACTTGCGGGTAGATAGCCAACACAACAAACACTCAGGGATATTTCTGTCTACTTTGATCTTATATCACATTTTTGGGCATTTTTATTCCTTACCTGTTTTCTTTGCTTGTATGTTATGGCTTCTGATTTTGTCTTCCTACAGGTTTGGTTTGTGTGTATGTGTGAGTGTGTGTGTTTCTAGTGATTTTTCTTTGCTTTTTTAAAACATTCTGGTTTGATCATTGTTTTTTTTTATTTATCTATTTGTTTTCCTAAAAAAGAAAAGATGAAGGCATGAAGTTGGAAGAGTGAGGATATGGGAAGACTCTGGGATGAGCCTTCCCACGGGTGAAACTGTGGTGAGAATATATTACAAGACAAAAATATTTTCACTAAAAAATAAATCTATCCCCAAATAAAATATTACTCACAACTACCCTACAAAAACGAAACAAGAATGATTTCTGGGCAGCTATCTGAACACTATATTGAAATTTTTATCAATTACATGTAAAAGGAATATAGATCCCGAAAATGCTATTAAATAAAAAAATACTTTTATTCTTCAATTCATCATTTTTTAAAAAAATATTATTCCTATTGGATAACAAGCAGTTTTCTTTCATCTTTTCATTATTTTAATAAATAAGTGAGTATTACCTGTTCTCATAAGGAAATATGTTGTAGTGGGCTGATAGGTTTCCATAAATCACACTTGGAAATGATTTTCAATCAAGTAGTGGTATATATATTCAATTTTTTAAAAAAAGTAGTCATTCAAGGTAAAAAGATTATGCATAAGCTAAACCAGTAGATCTTAACTAACATCTCTAATGCTGTGGCTTTTTAATATAGCTCCTCATGTTTTGGTGACCCAAACTTTAAAATTATTTTTACTGCTATATCATAACTGCAATTTTGTTACTGTTATGAATCATAATCTAAATATTTTTGGAGCAGAGGTTTGCCAAAGGGGTTGCAACCCACAAGTTGAGAACCACTGAGTTAAACTCACATACTCAAACTGAGGTTAGGTTTTCTGGAAGATTTTTTGGCTAACAGTGTTTTTACTAAACAAAACATAGTTTAAAAGCAACAGAATCTATTGCTCATAACCTACAGCTGTTTTATATATTTGTTGTAGTTTGTATCTGTTTGTTGATAATGCTCTAGTTTAATTACCACTAATTCTTAGAGCAATTATTTTCTTCTAAATTAATCATAAGAAAACATCTGATTGTAAGATCTCTATCCTTGGACTGGAGAGGTGGTTGAGTGAATAAGAGCACTCATCTTGCAAAGGACCCAGGTTCAGATCCCAGCACCCACAAGGAGGTTCACAACTGTCACTTCAGTTCCAGGGAATTGGACATCCTCTAATACCTTCTTGAGACATCGAGCATGTGCATAGATCAAAGACATATGTGCAAGCCAAGCATCCATAAACATAAAATGATAATAAATCCTTAACATTCCAATTATCATCATCTTCAGAAAGGCTTTCAATATATTTTATATGAATTTTTTGACAAATTATATGGGAGTTTTCAAAATCAGTACTTTCCTAAAATTATGTATTTAAAAGTAAGCTGAAAAGTATTATTAAAGGAAGAAATATTTTTTATAGAAATGTCAAAGTTTTGATAATTACAAACAAAATTAATATTAAAATGTTTTTAACACATGAAACTCAATATGCTAACCCAAGTATTTTAAATAAATGTTGTAATAGTCTATAAATTAGCAATTAGATATGAATAAATGAAGGCTGAGTATGGATTTTGATTTAAAAAATACCTTAAATTTATTAATTCTTAAACCATGAATTGTTAAGTTATTATGTTTCTGAGAAAGACTAATGCGGCTTTTCAGTACAAAATAGCTGCTACTCTCTCAGTATTTTCTTAGTTATGTTGGTGTAATTAAACTTCACTGGTACCAGGATTTACTGTCTGTGTTCTTTCAGAGACGCAGGAAATGTTTGCATTTGGATATCGCCTTGCAAATAACTGACTGTTGTATTTAAACACTTCTTAGAACATAATGGCTTGTTTGCAAACTTTAAAAAATTAAACCATTAATTATTAAAATAATAAATTTTATAAAAGCTTATGGTCACTTTATGTCGTTTATAAAAGACACTTGGTCACCTTTTTTTTTTAAAGAGAACACATTGTATTGAATGAATGTTGAATATTTTACAGTAAACAGAATAACTTCAAATTTGCTACACCACACATACTTGCGACTAAGGATTAGTGATAATTCATTAATTAATACCTGTTAATTCTTTCATTCTTGATAAAAACCTATTGTCACGGCAGCAAACTATTGGTTTCTTCTCCACACTTCAGCCTCACAAATCACTTTTTAAATAGTTTTGTAGACTAAACAGTGTCTACACAACTACACCAGTACATGATTCCTGACGCCTCTACTTGAATAATTATAACAAATGCCATATCGTCGTTTGTAAATTTCCCAGCTTATAAAAATAGTTACCTACAAGGAAAAACTGAATCCCTTTTCCGGGTCCCAAAATGCAGTGACCTTTCTGAATTAGAATCAAAGTTGTTTGTCCTGTTCGGGCACCTGTAAAGAAAGGCTGCACTGCCGGCTCTTGATAGGCTGTTGCCATGGTTGCGGTTTGTTGAGAGGCTGGGGGCGGTGGCTGCCAGGAAGCCCAGTTAGCGCTGGTGTGTGAGAAAGGTGCGTGCGAGGGGTCCACTGTGGTAGCGCGGGTGCGCCCCATCGGGTGGACAGAGCACCTACTGACCCAATCTGCAGAACGGGCTCCAGGACAGGGTGCGCGGGGACTGCGCAGGACTTCAGCTCTTTCCTTTCAAGGTTTTCTTTGCCCTCTCCAAACCTGAAATTCCTTTTGGGCAGCTAGAGAGACTGTCATTCTCCTCTCGACCACACCCCACCTCAACTGGTAATTCCTTTCTTCCCATCTACCTTCCCCTTTGCTTACTACCCATATGTAATGATTTCGTTGTTGTTACTTTCCCCAGAACGTTTTCCTGTTCCAGAACGTGGAGGGTGGAGAGAGTCCCTTAATCTTTTTCCATTTTAGGCGGTAAGAGAGCCCATGTGGTTCATTATCAACTCGAGGTTGTCTAGGGTCGCTTACTGACACAAGGATCTTAACTGAAGAATTCTTTTCTGTATATTTACATATATAGGGCTAGGTGTAAATTTAAGTTCTCATTTCTCGGGCAACACAGCCAAAAGTTTTGAAACCATTTGTGGGGAAGAAAGATATATGATGTCCATAGCTGAAGGAGAGGCAAGTAAGAGCTTTTATTTTTCTCTCTCTTAGCTTTTTAGATGTGATTATGTGGAGAGCCATACAGAGAAGTAACGTTTACGGTGAGGTAATATATACAAGGAATTCCGAATGGGACACAATTCAGTAGGTGCCGAGCCCGATTAAAGGCATTGGAAGAATGTTGATGTTATGAAGATCAGCTTCCTTGTGAGACACTATTCCTGGGGAGAGTTGAAACGATGCCCACTTGCCCCACATGGGAAACCCATGACAAACCAAAGTTGAGGTACCACCAAAATCCAACTCGAGGAACGTGTGAGCTTTATTGGGGTTACTTACATGAATATGTTTAAGGAGGTATTTTAGAAATGACTGAACGGCAGTTGGGTCACCAAAAACCCAGTGAGCTCCAGCCTGACTGAGAGCTCACGAACGCTGGAAACATGAAACACACTGTAGAGTCTGAAGGAAGCTCAAACAAGTTCTCTCTGCTTCTTCCAGGTGACCGGTCTGCGCCTGTTCTAGGCAGCTCTGCTTGTCCAGAGTGACTCTTCTCGGTTAGATGCCTGAGGAGGGAGGAGCCTAGTGACTATATTCTGGTACTGAAGTCTCTGGAAGCCTTCCAGTAGTTTACTTACTGAGTTTAGCGACCCTCCTTGCAGAGTGGAATATCTCCCTTCCCCTTAGAACGCTCTGTCTTAGACGTTTCCTTTCAGAACGGAATATTTTACCTTCCTTTATATTCTATGTCGTAAGGAACTTCCACGCATGATAGGCAGTTTTATGTTGGAGAAATTTGCCTCGCTTCAGGTCTTCTCCCAACAGTATGTAGTACAAAGAATGTCCTGCAAAGACCTATGCAAATGTTTCATTTCATTTTCTTTAGTATTTGGACTTTAAGATTCCATGATCTGTTCAGTCAGTAGTAAATGAAGCATGCAACGTGGCATTGATTGCATGCAATAGATTAACATTTGAGTTAATCCAAGTTTAGTGAGAAAAAGAAGGAAAAGAAGCAAAGGGGAAGAAAAAGAAGAACAAGAACGTCTAAGATCTTAAGGAATAGGAAATATTTGTAAGACTGTTGTAGGGGAGAAAATGAGAGCTGACCAGCTCATTTTCAAACCTTCACCCCCTCCCGGGACTTACAATAAAATGAAAAGTCCAAATAGCATGCAAACGTGTAATTCATTACAACCTAAGCACATGTTCATGGGCTTGTGAATACTTAGCGCAAAACCAAGAATTGTTTCAGATTTTTTTTTATCTTTAGTACATAAGATGTACTCATATTTTGATTTCTGTGTTACCCTAACTTTTCCTGTTCTATTTTATTATTAAAACATGTTTATCAAAAACAACAAATTAACTTTTTGATAGGTTATTTATGACATAGAGTTTTCAGTATTATTGGAAAAGCTGTTATACAGAGAGACTACTGGGGAAATGAGTTTTGCTTGGAAGGCTCTTTAATAGTGAGAAGATCGCTGACTTTGTGCTCAGCATCTGAGTCATGTTCCTGTCCCCATTATTCATTAGCATAAAGGCTTTAGACGGTTAAGTAGCCTTTTAGGACATTAATGTTCTTATGTAAACAGTGACTTCATAATTGTTAGCCTGTTAATTTCTCCCAAAGATCAATTAAGAGTTTATCCCCTAGTACTTGACCGACCACAGCCCTGAACATTGGGGATATCATTGTGGTGGTGGTGATGGAGGTGGTGGGTGATGATGAGGATATAAAGACATATTACTATCTAATCAATATCCATTTCAAGTGTCAAGGATTTAAACACAAAATTTTCAATTATACGCTGTGCATTATCTATTACTGGGTGCCGCCTTAGCAAGAGCATGTGCCTGCGTGTAAGGCAGAATTACTAGAATCTGGACTCAATGAATACAAGGTAGCCATAGATTGCTCTCAGAAATAGATTTGAGACTTTCGCTTCGGTGTGCTTTAATCTGTAGATAGTCAAACGGTTGAACTTTTTTTTAATGAACTGTATTTTCAAAGACAAGATTACCCGGAAATTTCTTAATAGTGGGAGATAAGCCTGTTAATCCCATGAGATTTTTCCCAAAGAAATGAAAGAATAGTAATGGTTTGGGCTATCGTGTTATCAAATATTTTAAAATGAATGAATCTATAGGCAAGACCACATTTTTTATCATGTAGAGCTAGCCTAATATGGTACCATACAAGTGTCTTTAAATTAAATGTCTACATGCATGTTGGATTGTGTGACAAATTACAGAACCCATATGTTTTTAGAGATATATTAGACTCCTTTCTTAAGTTCTATGTTTTTATTGTTAAGAGTAATGGAGGGCAATGAGGACAGTGATGCAAAGCTCAGAGAAGAAATAGAAGCTGAATTGGAAAAAATCAGCATTTCTTCCTTGGAAAATGATGAGGTTGAGAATGATTCAGAGTCAGAAACTGAGAGTGACAATAGTGATACTGTAAGTGTTTCACATTTTTTTCATTTTTATTAGTTCACCGAGAATTTCATATTTTGATTTCATATAATGTATTCATCCATTCATCCTTTTCTATAACTTTTCCTCCAAGATCCACCTCCCTTCCCTTCAGACTCAACTATATGTCCTTTTATTTTAAACCCAAAATGAAAAATTGGCGCTGTCCCTATACTCTTGGATGTATACCCTTCCGCTTGATACAGTGTGATCCACGAAACAAGGGCCCTGCTCTTAGAGAAAATTGCCTCTCCCTTTCCCAGTAGCTATCAGTTCCCAGTAACTCCTTAGCTAGAGGTGAGACTTCAAATCGCTTCTCTCCACACTGGCATTTGGACTGGATTGTGCTTGCAAGGACTTTGTGCATCCTTTCACAGTTACTGTGAGCTCATGTACAACTTCCCTGATGTGTCTGTAAAACATCGCTTCATTGCATCATCCTCTGCCCCTGACTCGTGCATTCTGTCTGCTCTCATTTCTGCTAAGTCCCCTGAACCTTTACTGGAGTGTTCTACAAGCCTTTTTCTGTTCATTTTTCATTATTTAAAATATTTTTTTGATACAATGCATTCTGATTATGATTTCCTTTCCCCCAATTCCTCCAAAACCCTCCCCACTTTAACTCCTAGAAAATTCACTCCCTGTCTGTTTCTTCTTAGGAAAAAAGAGACATCTAAATAATAATAATAAAATTAAATAAGATAAAACAAGAAAACAAACAGAAAAAAAGCATCAGAAAAAGTACATGAAATGTGTGTACACACACACACATCATACACAGGCATTCCTTGAAAATCATAAACACAGGAAAAGCAAAAGGACACGTAAGACTATAAAAAAATATCTGGATAAAATAATTTTGAGGCAAAGAACCTCCAAAGATGCCACTGAGTATCTTTTGTGCTGGCCCTGTACTGATGGACATGGGCCCTGCCCTTAGGAGTGATGTGTTTCCCCCAGTAAGACAACATTAGAGAGAACTCATTTTATTTGAGAGTGGTTATTTATTAGAGACAACTTTTCGATAAGGGAACTGGTTTTCTCCCTTTCTGTCTCAGTATTGTGACCACATCTGTGGCAGACCCCTGCAGGCCATGTGCATGTTGCCAGTCTCTGTGTGCATAGGCTCTGTTGTGCCCAGAAGGCCCTGTTTCATTGGTGTTATCCACGCCCTCTGACATTTACAATCTTTCCAACTTCTCCTCTGCAGTGTTCCCTGTTCGCTTGGTGGAGGGCTTTAATTGAGACATCTCATTCATGACTGGATGTTCCAAGATCTCTGACTATCCACTTATTTTTTGGCTGTTCCTCTCTAAATTTATTCTCATTGGCTGCTGGAGGAAGTCTCTCTGATGGAGGCTCCGAAAGGCACTGACCTCTGAGTATAGCAGAATATCTTACAAATAATTTTAGCAGAAAGGTAGTATTAGTTTTCCCCTAGGTCCCTGGTCTATCTAGTCTCAGGTTCTTGGATACCCAGTGTTGGGAATGAGTTGAGAATGAAATCTATCAGATACAGGTTGGTTACTCCCATAAGGTTTGTGCCACTACTGCACTAGCATAACTTCCAAGCAGATCATCTTTATATATCAAGTAGTTTGTATCTGTGTTCACATTTACCTTTCTCCTTTATCTGCAGAGAACATTATAGTACTATGAACATTATTAGTTCATAGAGGTGGAAGTTGTAGACAGGCATCATCTTGAATTCTCCATATCCAGTGAGTTATGTAGGTTTTTTTCATTCAGTCTTGCTACCAGTTTATGGGAAACCACCAAAAGCCTTTGTGGAGGGCTTTGATCCATCTTCAGTTGAGTATTGTGAAAAGTCTTTGCGTTCTTCTCCATGTAGCCCCTTCCGTATGAACAGCACCATTTGTCAAAGGTGCTTCCTTTACCAATGTCTGTTTCTGGCTTTTTAAAAATAATCGCGTGTTCATAGTTGTACACATTTATTTCTGGGTCTTCAATTTGATCAATGTGTCTGTTTTATACCATACTTTGCTTTGTTATTGTTATTACTGTAGCTTTATGCTACAACTTGAAACTGGGGATGTTGATACCTAAAGCATTTTATCTATCATTCAGGATTGCTGTCACCATCCTGGTTTTGTGTGTTTCTGTATGATGCCAAAATTGTCATTTCAAGACCTGTGAAGAATTTTTTTGGGAGTATTGATGGGGATTGGATTCAATTTGTCAATTGCTTTTGTCATGTTTTATCATACAAGTCTTTCACTGGTTGGTTGGAGTTAACCTAAGATATTTTGTATTTGAGACTATTATGAAAGGTGTTATTTCCCTGATATCATTCTTAGTTCCTCTGTTATTAATATATAGGAAAGCTACTGATTTTGTGTGTGTGAGTGTGTGTGTGTGTGTGTGTGTGTGTGTGTGAGAGAGAGAGAGAGAGAGAGAGAGAAAGAGAGAGAGAGAGAGAGAGAGAGAGAGAGAGAAAGTATATGTGATAATTTTGCATTCAGTTACTGTAGGAGTTTTCTGATAGAACTTTTACAGTCACTTATACATAATATTATATTATCTGCAAATAAATATGTGTTGACTTCTTTCATTTCTGTTTGTATTCATTTGATCTTAATGCTTCCACCTCCAGAGTGCTGAGATTACATGTTTATACCACCTGTCTCAGCTTTATTCAACATTAGGACTGAATGTAGGACTTCATCATACATGCTAGGTAGGCACTCTTAATGAGTGAGCCACAGCCCCACCTCAGAGATCCTACTTGTTACGATTTTACTTTAGCAATATTCATGCTTCTACAGATTTATCTATTTCTTCAAGAATGTTCCAGCATGGTGAGGTATTATTGTTTAAAATGATCTATTATGAACCTTTGTAATTGTTGTCTTATTACTCTAGAGAAAGGTTCAAGTACTGAACTGGATAGGTATGGAGCAAGTGGAAACCTTGTCTTGTACATGATTTTAGTGGAAATGCTGTTTCTTTCCATTTAGGTTGATGTTGGCTGGAAGCTTCCTGCAAATCATCTCTATTACACTAAGATATGATTCTTGTATCCCCAGTCTCTCCAGGACTTTTTAACATGAAGGGGTGTTGGAATTTGTCAAGGTCTTTCTGCATCTAATGAGATATTATAGCATGGTTTTTGTCTTTCAGTTTATTAGGCAGTAAATTATATTTATTGATTTATATATGTTGAACCATCCTTGCATGTGTGGTATGAAGTCTGCTTGATCAATGTGGATGTTTCTTTTGATGTGTTATTGGATTTTGTTTGCAAATATTTTATTGAGAATTTTTCCATCTATGTTCATATGGGAAGTTGATTAGTAATCTCTTTCTTTTGGGGGTGATTTGGGAATCAGGTTAGCTGTGGCCTTGTAAAACAAACTGGACAATGTCTCTTCTGTTTCTATTTTGTGATATAGTCTAAGGAGGTTTGGCATTAACTCTTCTGTGAAAGTCTGGTAGAATTCTGTGTTGAGCCATTTGGCTCTGCATTTTTTATTGTTATTGTTTGTAGACTTTTAGTTACCACTTCTATTTCAGACAGGTTTATATGTGTATCTAAATCTCTTATCTGATCTTCATTTAACTTGGTAGCTGGTATATTTCAAGAAAATAATTCACTTCTTATAGATTTTCCAGTTTGGTGTAGTGCAGATTTTTAAAGAATGTCCATATGATTCTCTAGATTTCCTCCGTGTCTGTAGCCATGTCCCATTTTGTCGCTGTTTTTTTTTTTTTACTTTGGATCTTCCTTCTCTGATTTCTAATTAGTTTGACAATAGCTTTGTCAATCATAATGATTTAAACTAATCAGAAGAGATAGGGAAAAACACTACATATTTATCAAAATATAAATCCATCAAGAAGACATTACAATTCTTGATATCCATGTACCATACACAGGGGCACCTAAATTAATAAAGAAAACACTACTATAGCTTTGATTACATTTGACCCTCACACACTGATACTGGGAGACTTCAATATTCCAGTCTTGTTAATATACAGGGTCTTCAGACAAAACTAGAGAAATTCTGTAGCTACCTGACATTTTAAGCCAATAATTATAAGCCAATGGACCCAATAGATATTTACAGAACATTTTACCCAAATACAAATGAATATTACTTCTCAGCAGCTCATGAATATTCTCCAAAAAATGACCATATACTTGGAAAAAGAAAGTCTCAACAGATACAAGCAAATTGATATAACGTCTTTCATCCTGTTTGACCACCACAGATTAAAGATGGATATCAACAACAGAAACCAAAGAAAGTTTACAAATGCATTAAAACTTATCAACTCACTAGTGAATGAAAATGTAATGGAGTAATACAGAAATTAAGAGAGAAATTTAAAACTCTTTATAATTTAATGAAAATAAAAACAGAACATACTCACACTTAAGGGATACAGGAAAAAGCAATTCTAAGAGGCTAATACTTTGGTGTCTACATACAAAGCAAGGGATCTCATGTTATTAACTTAAGGTCACACCTGAAAGCTCTAGAACAAAAAAAGAAGAAATAACATCCAAAGGAGTAGATGGCAATAAATAATCAAACTTGGGGCTTAAATCAATAAAATACCAACAAATGCAAATAATCAAACTTTTAAATTAAAGTGGGATATTTAGAAAATATTTTACTTCTCTGTTTTTACATGTGTATCTCTACAGTTTAGGATTACAGTTATAAGTACTGACCTTGTGAGATATTTATATTAAATAAAGATTACCCATGATTCCCTTCTGTTTTATGCCTAGTGTTATCAGAAAACTTACACTGTGAAGTTCACAGTTCTACTTCCGCACTTCACCCCTGTACTTGGTCTTGAACTCATGGCTTTGCTTATATTAGGCCAATGTTCTACCATTGTGCTATACTTTTAACTTTCTGCTTTTCTCATTATTTAAGATTCTTCTTCACTTAGGTACTACTTTAAAAATAAAATTAACAATATCTTGTCTTTTAAGTGAGAAAAATGCTAGAATATTATATACCTAAAATAAAAATTTTATATTTTTGTTGCTTCATACACAAAGGCAAAATAAACCTTTCAGGCTACACTCTGGCTTCAGATACCATTAAATTATTTATAGAATTCAAATATCTTTATTGCACAGAAATAAATTATATTATTAACACAAGATCAAAGAACCAAGGATTAAAAATTATCTTTTACAAAATGTACAACAATAAATACTGGTGTTATTTGTATTCAAAACACTTCATCACTAGGCAGAAGTAAACACAGTAAAGGACAGAGAATATAGGAGGAGAGTGGGTACTTTTTTCAAGACTAGTTTAGTATTTTGTCATACATTTTAGCTTATTTTTCTGTAGCTGAAAGGGTAACGTTAAGTGCATGAATTTGCTGTTAATTGTTAAAACTAAAAATGCGTTCCATTGGTTATAATAAAGGCAAAATGCTATTTGTAACTCATATTTGATGCCATATTAAACATGTCATCTTCTGTATCCAGAATATCTGTATAGATTCAATCGCTCAGTCACACTGTGGTTTATCTTCCTCAAGGAAGATTTTCTACTAATATATAGGTTTATTGATAGTTTTGGGATTGTTATTAAAATATATTAAATGTTTGGAATATTTTTATGAGTAGTATGTTTTATAATATACTTTCTAACAGTAATCGGTATTTACATAGGAATGAACTTCATTTGTAGGATAATATTATCAATCTATTTGGGTATTTAGAAAATTTGAAAATTTATTTACATCAGTATTTTGATAGATGTTCTATAATGTTACATAAATTCAACTGTATTTGGTAATTGCATATTAAGCAATTACATAAAGTACTAGGTTATATTATATTTTGTAAAATATTTCCAAGTTTGATTTATATTTCATAAGAAATATTTGTGATATATCAATGAACTATGAAGAACTAATGAAGACATTGGAAACATAATACCTCTAATAAAAAAGAAAATAACTTGATAACCTTCACTTGTTGTCTTAGAATTTTCTAGGAACACATAACTGTCTGGAAATTCAAAGAAAAATTAAAGCAAATATGTGTGTCTGAAATAGATCCATTATATGGAGGCACTTTTACCTATTTGCATAGTTTGCTAAAGTTTTTGCTGTGAAATGAGTGATGTGATATTTGACATATATTTTTTGGTAATCTTTCTCATACTTTTGTTACTTAAATTTCAGGAGTTAGTTGAATTGCCAGAGTCAGTTCTTCACTGTATCAATGTCATAAAGAACAAGAGTAAAACTGCAGAGACTCTCTTCCTTCAGGACTTAGAAGACACTGATGTCTTCAGTGAGAACACAGAGCGTATACAGCAAGGCAAGTTGTTTTTTGAAGAAGCATCTTTGAGAACCAGTTACCACAATCAGTAGGTCATTCTTACTAAGACTGAAATGATGGGCTGTAGGGTGAAAACCCAAGGTTAACTCTGCCCATTGCAGAACTACACTGCTGCAGAAACTGTTGCCTGCTAGGATTAGGAAGTTCAGAATCAAAACTAGCACACTAGTTTTCTCTTGTAGAGTCTTATTTCTATTCTGAAGCTCCTTATCACAATGTGGGTCAATAAATGGAAATCTAGCCTGCTTGTCCTTATACATGGCAGTTTTATGAAGGCAAAAACAATTATTTGAATCATGCACAGAAAGTCAATGATAAAAGAATCTAGAAAATGATATTCTTTCCTTTCAGCTTATTACATTTTAATGCATACCAGAAAGATTGTGAGTAAATATAAAGGAAGAAAAACTATTTGGTAAAGTAAATGGGAATAGTTCTCTGTAAAGGTGGTTTCCTATTAGAAAATACTGACAAAATTTGAGACATAAATTAAATAAAGAAATCAGGTGTAATTACATTTGAAGCTACTATTAAAATAAAATAAAATTCAATTAAATCTCATAAAATAAAATTAATACCATTCATCATGGTAATATTAAACTTTTAAATTAGCATGTGTAGTAAAATATTTTCATTATATTGTAGAAGATTCTGTTGCCAGTTTCTAGCAAATAGCTTTGAGCCTTGATATATTCCTTATCAATGTGTCATTGCATGCAATGTATGTATGCACTTTCCTTTTAAATAAAACACTCCATTTTGGAGGGAAGATCCTCAACAGTCAAGAATGTGATATATTCCATCCTCTGGGAAGTTCAAAAAGACTCAAAATATCTTAAAAGGGGCTCCCTAAGACTCAGGTTCTAACCATCCACAAAGCTTCAAAAATTTCTGAAACACACCTTATTCCTCAGACTTGTATAAACATGAAAACTGCTTGGAAACATCCTAAGGTTTCCTGTCTAGTAGAGTCTCTGTTAGAGTAACTGCCCAGAAAACACTCCAGGTCATCGTAACTGCCTGGAAAATGGAAAGAGCAGGAAGCTGCTTCAGAGAGGTTGAGACCACCTGAGTTGCTTTCAAGAGATACTCTTCAACAATTAGAGCCCATTTTAAATCAGATAGGGGGATCCAGTGTTCCAGTTTTCTTAAGCTATCAGTGATGCTGGTGTGAACTGGGCTGATGATTAGTGATGCTGGTGTGAACCATTCAGATGATCAGTGATGGCGGTGTGAACTCAGTGATGCTGGTGTGAACTCGGTGATGCTGGTGTGAACTGGGTGGATGATCAGTGATGCTGGTGTGAACTGTGTTTACAGAGCTGTTTTTGCATCATTTCTATTCTTGTAAGAAACCCCTTCCCCAGATTATGTAAATAGCCTCAATGATCATGTTGGTTTAGCAAGTTTGACTTACATAGTTTCTTTTTGGTGAGGTTACTTACCTATCTCAGTTGAGTAGAGGTGTGTTTATCCATGTCTTTTCAGGAATTGATTCACACATTATCAAGCAAGAATGATTCTATATGCATAGAAAATAAAACTCATTCTAAAATATGAACAATGGTAACAAGATAGAGTGACTTGGACAATTGCTTTTATTTTAAAATAATGATAAATCTCTTACAAATTTTTTTGAAAGTAATTTTATTAAATTATAAAAGTTTCCATTTCCGCCCCTCCCCCAACACTCTCCCCCCCCCCCCCTCCCTCTCCTCCTCCCTCTCCATCCCTAAGAGCAGTCAGGGTTTCCTGCCCTGTGGGAAGTTCAAGTTCCTCCCTGCTCCCTCCAGGTCCAGGAAGGTGAGAGTCCAGACAGACTGGATCCGCAAAATCCAGTATATGCAGAGGAAACAAGTCCCAGTGTCATTGTCAATGGCTTTTCAGAAAGATTCCGGGCCAGCCACATTCAGAGAATCCGGCCACATACAGAGACTCTGGTTGGATCGCATCCTCGTTCAGTCCCTGTCCAACTGGCCTTGGTAAACTCTCATTAGATCCGTCCCCTTGTATCAGTGGGTGATCGCATCCCTCGCAGTCCTTATTTCCTTTTTCATTTTCTTCATCCTCATTTGGACCTTCGGGGGCTCCATCCGGTGCTCCAATGTGGGTCTCCGTCTGTATCGCCATCCATCGTCGGATGAAGGTTCCCTCTAGTCTTGCCTTCTTTGCT